TTTTCTTTGAATTCATGCATATTTTCCTTGGAGAAGAGTCATTTTGTATAATTCTGTATTAAAAGTATCTTCAAAGGATAGTTCTGTTTGCTAAATGCCTCAAGTACATTGAAGGGGTTAGTGCTGGGCAATGTTTGTAAAGGTGGTTGTTGCAAAGTATCTAAAGAATGGAACTGGGGAAGTTTGACCTTCAGAAAAAAAATTGTTGGGTGGGATTTATGGGGTAAACAGATGTAGGGGAATCAACAGATAAGGAGAGATTTCATTCAACATAAGGAACATTTGATAATATTGGAATTAATTATGTTGAGTTCTTCACCTTCAAAAGTGGTAAATTAGAAACAGGATTTCTGGGTTGTAGCTAAAGGGATTCCTTCATCAGACCAGATGGCCCTCAAAAGCCCTTCTAGCTTTGAGTTTTGGAGAGCTCATTTCAAAACATCTTCAAGCTGTATTTATTTTTTCTCTAATATTTATTCCCAATGCTAAGCTCTAGCTTAGCTTTTCGTTACCATAGTTTGGATTATGTAGTAACTTTCTAATTGGTCACCTGATCTTCCTAGTTCCCTTACCTCTTTATCTTGCATGCTGTTACCCAGTTAAATTTTTTAACAGCTTTTTGAGACACACTTTACATACTATCAAGTTCACCTGTTTAAAGTGTGCAATTCAATTTTTTAAAATTAAAAAAAGAGGCACCTGGGTGGCTCAGTCAGTTAACTATCTACTTTTGGCTCAGGTTATGATCTCAGGGTCCTGGTTCCTCTGGTATTCCCCCTGCTTTTGTTGTCTTGCTCTCTCTCTCTGTCCAATAAATAAATAAAATCTTAAAAAAAATAAAAAAATTTAAAAGTAATCTCTACACCAAACATGAGTTGGAACTCATTGCCCTGAGACCAAGAGTTGCACGCTCTACTGGCTGGGTTGGCCAGGCACCCTCAATTTAATTTTTTTTTTTAAGTATATTTAGGATTGTACAAGCATCATATCAGAATCAAATTTTAGGCCTTTTTCATTACCCCAAAAGAAACCTCACACCCATTAGCAGTTACTCCCTATTCCCCCTAACCACCAGGTCTTGGCAACCACTCTCATTGTATTATTGTCCAGCTAGGAGGCCTTCAGTGTCTTCCTTATCCATATGATTAAGAAAACATTTTTGGGGGCACTTGGGCGACCTAGTTGGTTGCGCATCTGACTCTTGGCTTCAGGTCAGGTCATGATCTCAGTATTGTGAGATCAAGCTCTGTGTCTGGCTCCATGCTTAGTGGGGAGTCTGCATGAGATTCTCTCCTTTTTCTACCCCTGCTCAAATCAATCAATCAATCAATCAATCAATCTTTAAGAAAACATTTCTCACCTGGAGTTCCTGTTTTTCCATAATCTGATTTCAGCTCATTTTCCCAGTTTTGACTTACACCCTTCCCCAGTCTGAATATTCAGTTCTTGCTCAGGTTCATCTGTTTCTTGTTCTTATTGAGAATGCTGTGTGCATTCCTTTTGGTTCCACTCTTCTTCCTTTTAGTTCCACTAACTTCCTTTTGGTTTCCACTCTTCTTCTATCTGAATAAATCTGTATATGCTTTGAGAGATAACTTAAGTCCTGCCCTTTCTGTGAATCCTTCCCTGAGTGATATCACTTACAATGAGTTCTCCTTTAAGCTTGAACTTCCCATAGCATCCCCTATTATAAAATCTTCTTTCACATTTAATTGTTGACTCTCTTGTGGGAACTCTTCTGTTGTGTTTTTCAGTTTTTTTGTGTGTGGATGTTGATTCCCTGAATTGATTATAAGCTTCTTAGAGGCAGGGACCGTGTATACTTTTTCTTTGTATCTTCTGTAGCTTAGCTGAGCGTATGGTTGTGCACAAAAATAGTATGTAAGAATAATGGAATGACTAGAGCCAGCATTGAGCAGAATGCTTTTTTTTTAAAGCCTTTTTTTTTTTTTTTAAGATTTTATTTATTTGACAGAGAGAGAGAGAGAGAGAGAGAGAGATCACACGTAGGCAGAGCAATCGGCAAGGTGTGGGGGGAAGCAGGCTCCCCACTGAGCAGAGAGCCTGATGCGGGGCTCCATCCCAGGACCCTGAGATCATGACCTGAGCTGAAGGCAGAGGCTTTAACCCACTGAGCCACCCAGGTGCCCCCAGAATGCTTCATTTGAATTCTGTGACAACCACAGACTTCAGTCTACTGGACATGTCCATGTTTTTACCAACTGAGCTATCCGCATTCACACATGTCCATGTTTTTAGGTGGCTTTGCTTTGCCTAGAGCCTGATACCACATTCCTTCATTATTTCATTCAGTAAATGTTACTGGTGCTATACTTTGTTTACTCATTTTTCAAAACCCTGTTTTGGGTTTAGTTAACTTTCTCTTATTGCTGTGATGTAGCTGGATTCTCTGATAGCCTTCAGTTCTGCATCATTCTCGAAATCTCCTGCTATTTATAGGACTTTCTTATGGTCGATTAGTACATTACCACACCCTTTATAGACCTATACAGTACCATTATTATACGGACTATAAGATCTTATTATTATAGGTTGGTGCATAACCTCAGTCTCTGTAGTCCCATTATTATGTACTTTGTTGTCTAATACACCATGAAAATACCATGTTCTGAGAAGTTGCAGGATGATGAGTGCTGTGGGAGACCGTTGCATTCCTCAAGTCACTTATGGGTTGATCGCAAATGTAGAATAGCACTTTTAATTTGAAACCATAGCAAGAAAAGTACTATGTTCTAACTGTTAGGAGTCATACAGAAATGAATAATAAAAATGTCTAGATGCTTAAGGAGTTCACAGTCTCATGGTACACACTGAGTTTAAAAACCCAAACGGTTCTAAGACAATACCATGAGTATTGTAGTAGATAAGTGGGTGCTTTGGATGATAGCCACCCTGAAGTAGGGTGTGATTTCTTCTGCTGTGGCAGAATTATAGTTTGGGAGCTGGAAGAAACTTTATGAGACCTTTGAGGATAGGATATTTTTCTGTTCCCAGCACCTAGCACAGTGTCTGGAATATGGAAGGTAATTAATAAATGATAAATGAATAATCATCTATACTGTGCTGTCTTACATGGTAGATATTGAGTACTTGAAACATGGCTAGTTGGAATTGAGATGTGCTGTGTTAAGAGCTCACCAGATTATAAAGACTTATTTAAGACAATGTGTGTAAAAAGAATCACAGTTTTTTATATTGATTATATATTGAAATGATACTTATTTGATGTATTAGATTAAATATGTGATTAAAATCAGTTTACCTATTTCTTTTTACTTTTAAAAAATACGACTACTAGAAAATAAAAAATTACGCATGTCTTATATTATGTCAGACAATGCTGATCTTACTCAGCTGCCTTAGACAATGTGATTTGACCGCAGTCACAAAGAGCAGAGGTACCTTAAAATTGAGAATTTACATGTTGAATTTCTTGACTTCTGGTTCAGTTTTCTTTGTAGCCCTAAATTAGTACAATGTAAATATATAAATTTTGAGGTTAAAATGACATCAGTTTGGTCTTATCAGGGACGACCTGATCTCCCTGTAATCCTCTCAAAACTACAGGAAGTACAGGTTCTGTTACGATCCTGACTTTACAATTATGAAATCTCAGTCTTAGGATGGTATACTCAAGGTCACATAGCTAATAATGCACAGAATTTAAGCTAGAACTGTGAGAAACTGATAGGAACCTGGGGATTTTTCCTACATAAGGACAGGCCTATAAACGTTGGGGACTCTTGAGTTCATAGAGCTGAGGATGAATGTATTAATGAATATGCCCTCCCACCCCCCCCGAAAAAGTTTAAAAATCCATTGCAGAATGTGTGGGTATGTGGATGAATATGTGCTTATGCAAGTACATGAGAGACAGAGACTGAGGGTTTGGGGGGAAAGAGAGGGATAAGAGAGAATGAATGCATGAAATTAATTTTAAAGACTGGGTCCTCATGCTTCCATCTTTCCTGCTTTTTTTTAATCTTTCTTTCCTGATTTTCTTCCCCTTTCTTTCTCTTTCTTTCTTTCTTTCTTTCTTTCTTTCTTTCTTTCTTTCTAAAGCGGGAAGAGAAGGTGGGAGGGAGGGGCTGAGGGAAAGGGAGAAAGAGAATCCCAAACAGTCTCCATCCCCAGCCCGGAGCCCTACATGGGGCTCACTGTCAGGACCCTGAGATCATGACCTGAGCCAAAATTGAGTCAGATGCTCAACCAGCCAGCCGATCCACCCAGGCACCGTCTCTTCCCATTTCTGACGTTGAAATTACTTATCAGACTCCCATTTTCTTCATTCAACTCAGTTCAGTTCCAATCAGTGTACCTAAGTCTGAACAGATGTGTATCAGCATGGTTATAATGGTTCTCTTTGGATTTCAGGTGATTTAAAATTCTATTTGTTCTCTGTGTCATTTGACTTTTTTATGCAAAAACATATACCAAGAAAAACCAGATTTAAAAAACAGCAAATATATTTTCATTTGAAAGAAAAAAATCAATATGCTTAATAGTTTTCATTCCAAAAATAAACCATTCACCCTAAAATTTCAGAGTCCCAAACTTCCTCTCTGCCATTCCATTCTTTTTGGCTTCAATTTCATAGTCCCCAGGTGAATTAGAGTTAAGTCTCCAAAGGCCAGTGCTGTAATATACTCTCTCTTGGTCATAGAGATGAACTTTCTTGTAGAGGTAGCATTTATTTCTTTAGCCAAGATGTTTATGTTTTGGGGGGGCAGATTGTTTGTAAACAATAGTAGCTCAGGGTGGTCATATCCTGCAACTATTTTTAAATACTTTGACTCTAAACAGACTGCTTTGTTTATGTCAGAATGAGATCTCGGTTCTTACTCAGCCCCCAATCTGGGCTTCTGGTAATTTCTTTTCCAAATTACCCTGCAAATTTATTTGTTGTCAGAACCTTTGAAAAGTCCCTATTTTTCAGTTTGCTTTTCACTGTTTATTGACCTGGTTTATGTTCTTTTAAGACGCTAGTGATCAAAGAGAAGATGTGTATATTGGAAACCACATGCCCTGCCCTGAAAACCTCAATGGTTACTGCATCCACGGGAGGTGTGAATTCATCTATTCGACTCAGAAGGCTTCTTGTAGGTAGGTGAACACCTCCAGGTCAGAGGGAGGAATTTTTTCCTTTAGTCACTGCTCTGTAGAAAGCAATGAATTACGGATTAAATATTACCAAAGAGTAATAATTATTTGCACTTCAATCAAAAAATAAATTAGTGGCATCATTTGGAAAGCACTGATAAGTATAGTATGCAAAATCAAAACCAGATATCATATTAGGGTTTTAAGATTGTGGACTTAACATTTTTAATACATTTTTTTCATATAAAAATATGCCATATTCCAGCACTATTTTGGTTCAGGCAATCTGTCACAAGGTGATTTAGGGACTAAAGAATGTGTTAAGAACAGAGAACATGTAACTCAAATAAAACATAACACTAAAATAGATTTCTAAAAATAAGGCAATGGGGATGTGGAACCAGGTGTGAGGAGAGAAGTGGAAATGGGAAAGGTGTAAATCTTCAACTGTCTTATGCCGGAGAGGTTCTGTGACTTGTTCAAGGTCAGCAGCAGCAAAACTAGATCTCAGATTTCCTCTCAGCCTAATGATCGTAATGCTTTTTGCTGTTCTGTGTCTGTTTGCTGGTAGCCCTTCTTGCTGCTGCTGTGAGCTGATCCTCTACCTCCTGTCGGTCTCCTTAGCCGGCTAATGTTTCCACAGACGAGGGGAGATTGCTGTCATTCTGCTCACTCCTGCCTCCTGCAGTTGGGCCAGAATCCTTTTTTCTCTTTCTTAGTCGAAACATCAAAACATGAAAAAATACTATACTTTTCTTTTGTTCTGTCAACCTAGAAGCCAGTGGATCTTTCTATCCAGAAAGTGAAAGAAAGCTGTTTGAAATCATTTCTCCCGGTCCCTCTACCCTTAGCTCCCTTCTCCTGGCTTTTTCATCTTCCTCCTCTCCTCCTGCTTAAAAAATAAAACAAAAATACTATACACTGTTAATAATTAAACAATTCTTTATTAAGCTTTTGACTTTTTCTTGATCAAAAGTGCCCCTTGACTTCAGTGGAGGTATCGCTCTGCTCCCACCTCCCCTTTCTTGAACGTTAAGGAAACACAGCTATACAGAGGGGAGCAGGCCAATTTTAAAACAAAATCATTTGGGGGAGTCCTCATATCCATCCCACGTGCGTGCATATCTTGATAGAAGTTCAGATCGTGGTGTTCTCTTAGGATAGGGCATCTTTCAGGATACCTAAAAGTGAAGGATGAGAGAGGTCGATGTCCTGTTAGTGAAGTGATACCAGGTCACTTTGCAGCATTTACTTTTCCAGTAATTGACAGTGAGACGATTGAATGGTATAAGCTGTTAAAGGTTTTGGGAGCAGGTCCACCAGATGGGCCAGTTCTTGTCTGTACCCTTCAGAAGTTACTTAAATGTTTAAGCCTCATTTTCTCATTTCTAAAATTGTAATAATAATACCTACCTCCTAAAATTGTTGCTAAATTTAAATTGTTGCTAAAACTAAGTGAGATAATATATGCAAAGTGCTTAGCAGAATATCTGGTCTTTGGTATACATTTAATAAATAGCAGTTAACGTTAGGAGGTTGTAAGTGTTGTTTGGTTAGGGATTCTGTTTTGCTAACCCTGTCTTCCCAGTGTCTAGGGTGGGGCCTGGCCCATTAGCTACTTAGTTAACTATTTTTTGAATGCCATGTAATGATGATCAATTTTTCCTTCTTCTCCAGACTAGAGATGTTTTTTAAATGCCAGAGAATCTCTTTTCTGCACTCTTGTAACTCCTAAAAAGCAAGTAGATCTTTTTCTTTGTCTCAGCATTTACAAAGTCTGCAAGAATCAGGCCATAACATCATGTGTGCTTCGACTAGTAGGTGGATGTGTTTGGGTAGCAGGAAGCAGGCAGGGATGAACAACCGTTAGCCACAGTCCTATTGTTAGGTTAGAATTTTCTAGCATTATCCCACCATTAATTTGTTTGTTTACTTATTACTTACTTTGTAGCAAATTCTTCCTGGCCCTTGGGTCTCAAATTCAAGTATGACAGGGACCCAGGGATCTTGGCTTCCAAAAAACCCACCATTTGGTAGAAGAGACTAATAATAAAGCAGTTAAAATATAATATGAAAAATGCTGCCATACATAGATAGATATACACGGGATGATTTGGGACTTCGGACAAGGAATTTCAGCCCAAGGAGAGCGAGCAACATGGTGAGAAGAGGGGCAGGTCTTACACAGGAACATTTGTGCCACCCTAGGAGCTTGCCTTTTATTTGAAAGGTAGTAAGAAGGCACTTAAGGATTTTAGTTAAGGAAGTTGTGATCAGATCCGAAAGCTATTCTGGTGGTTTTGTGGAAAATGGTTCAGGAGACTGAATGTCAGTAAGGAGTGAGAACCTGAACTAAGGAGAGGAGTTAGAGTTTCACTGAGTTCGGCAGATGAATTGCAGAAAGAAGATATGGTGATTCAATCTCTAGATTTTGGTGACCGGTTGGGTTTGTGGGGGAGCTGATGGAGGGTCATGGGAAGGAGGAGTCAAGAGTGTCCTCTGGGTTTCTGGCTGAGGCAGAATTGAGTGGAGAAAGGGAATGGGAAGAGGGAGGAGCTTTGGGGGGAAATGATGTTCAGTGTAGTATGCTTGGTCTTGAGTGCCTGTGGGGGATCCACTTACAGGTGTCTAGTAGGCTGCGGGATATATATTGGTTTGAGAATTCAGGTGACAGATGCGGGTCGGAGGCATACGTGCGGGATTCTACCCTAGCATATCCCTCGCAGCTCCTACCCAGCCTAGCTTCCATGCCTCTAGGCCTCCAGTTTATCCATCATGGCACCTGTGTCCCTCGCCCCTTGCATGTCTTCATCCCCTCCTTATTCATCTTAAACTCCGTGGCTGGCCATGGTAGTTCCTCTCTTGCTTTATCATACTCAACTTGACAAAACTCTAATCCTGATTCATGCCTTCCTGCCTGCTGTATACCCATACAGCTGAACGGCCCACATGGCAGTTGTTGAAAAGCACACCACCCGGTTAAGGTGTCTCCCTGACATTTATACTTGAAGCGGGGCCCACAGGCTGCCAAGTTGGCCTTCTGACCTGCAGTCCATTCATTCTCCTTCTGTCCTAGATGACAGCTTTCTACGGTCACCCTTCTGTTCAGATTGTCAATACCCCCCTCATCCTTAGCTGACCATCTTGTTTCTGAGTTCACTGAGAACACTGAAGCAATATGAAGAGAACTCACAGACTTTTTACTCTCACCTCCCAGAAATACTCCCCCCTTTTCTGTGTTCCATATATTCTTATGTATATAATATGTAATATATGTAATATGTAATTTATATGTATTTATATTTATATATATTCTTTTTTATATCTATAATTATAAATTTATTTATATTTTCATTTCTTCTGTCCCGGGGAAAAAGCCCTCACTGTCCTACCAGCGACCATCCCATTTCTTTTCTTTGTAGAACTTAAAAGAGTTAGTTGCCTACACTCTGTCTCCACCTCCTCACTTTCCGTCTCTCTTGAATCCACCCGAGTAAGCTTTTCAACAACCAGTAGCATTTGATATGGTTAATTGCTCTCTCCTGTGTGATATGTATTCGTCACTTGGCTCTAGGGATTGCATTCTCTGTTTTCTGCTGTCTCGCTGGCCATTCTTTTGCATCTTCTTGCTGGTTCCCGTTTGCTCCCCGACCTCTCTCAGTGTTGGAATGCACCAAAGTCTAGTTCTGGTCTTCCTCGTTAGTGATGCCATCCAGCCTTAAGGCTTTGCATGACATAGGCTGATGATTCCTACTTTACATAAGTCCCAGACCTCTCTCCTCAACTTGAGACTCATAGATTCATAGACTCTTCCTCCTTGACGTTTTTGCACGGACGTCTTGACTCATCAATTTCAGCAGGACCTAAGATGATCTCCTGATCTGCCTTCCCTCCCCTAAACCTGCTCTACCTGCAGCCTTCTTCATCTCTGTTGATGTCAACTCTCCCTTTTCCTTTGCTTAAATAAAACACCTCTGATACATCTTTGACTTCTCTCTCTCTCATACTCCGTACCCAGTCAGTTGAGAAATCCTATTATCTCTATTTAGAATATATCCAGAATTTGAGTTCTTCTCACGATTGCCACTGCTATTCCTAGTCTAGGTCACCATTTTTTTCTCCCTGGCATTACTGCAACAGCCTCCCGGATTGTATCCTACAGCTCATTCTCAACACAGCAGCTGGATGGAGACTTTTCAAATGAAAGTCAGTTCATGTCATATCTCTGCTGAAAAGTTCCTAGGGGCTCCTTCCTGTCACCAAGTGCAGAAGCCCTATACCTTGGCCACTTCACCTCTCCGTCTTGGTCCCCTTCTTCCCTTCGGCTTGCTGCTCCACGCCAGCCACACTTGCTATTCTTTTTTTTTTTTTTAAATATTTTATTTATTTATTTGAGGAAGAGAGCGAGCATGAACAGAGTGGGGTTTTGGGGAGGGAGGGGCAAGGGCAGGCAGAGGACGAGGGAGAAGCAGACTCTCCACTGATTAGGGAGCCCAACGTGGGGCTCGATCCCAGGACCCTGGGATCATGACCTGAGCCAAAGGCAGGTGCTTCACAAATGAGCCACCCAGGCGCCCCCACACTTGCTATTCTTGGACACGCCATGTCTCGTGCTTCCTCCTCAGGGTCTTTGCACAGACTCTTCCTTTGCTGTGTTCTGTGTTCTCCTTCCTATTGTCCACATGGCAGGCTTCCTCAACCCTTTCATGTCTTCGCTCACATGTCACCTTCTTAACGAAGACTACCCTTCCATCTTGTTTAAAATTGCAACCCTCCCTTCTTGGCCTATAACTGGCACTCATCATTTCCCTTTACTAACTCTCCTGTCTCTCTTTGTATAGTCCCGTCAACCTCTAAGAATACCATTTAATTTACTTATCAATGTTTATGGACCCTCGCTCCCCCAATTAGAGGTTAACCAGATCAGGGGTCTTCATTCGTTTTGCTCACTGATGTATCCCAAATACCCACTACAGTGCTTGGCACATGTCAGAAGCTCAGTAAATGGGTGAGTGGATGAATCAGCCCATGAGGCATGGTAGTGAATGAGATGACTATGGACAGTGTGTGGCATGAAAGAGTAGAGGGTTAGAGGACCAAATGCCTGGATCTGTCTTTAATCAGTAATGGAAGAAGTAGTAATAACCTAGAAGTCATTACTTCAGGTATTTGGAGAGTACAACCCAAAAGTCAGTTGCAGAAAATAATATCCGAAGAGGATTGCCTGAATAATATATGGCTTATACATTCTTTCTGATATTCTGATTTTAATCTTTGGATTAAGCTAAACTGTCAGAGAACTTCATATCCAGGACACTGTTATAGCTCCCCATGGAGCTGTTTTTATTTTATTGAGCTTTGACTTTTCACCATTAGCCTACCACAAAAGGCATTATTTTAAAAATCCTGTAAGATTTCATTATATTTTTGAATTTATTACAGCTATATTATTGAGGTAGATGTTCTCTGTATCAGAAAGTTCCCTCTTTAAATCAGGACCAATGAGACAAAATCCCCTTGAATCTACTAATGATAGTCACTGTGGTTGTTTTGAACAACTGGTTTGATTTTATTTTGTGGAGATTGTGTTTTATGTTAATGATATTTCCACTTTCTTGTTTTCATTTTCTTTTTCATTCTTTTTTAAAGATTTTATTTAAATGAGAGAGAGAGTGTGTGTGTGTGTGTGTGTGTGTGTGTGTGTGAGCAGGGGGAGAGAACCAGGGAGTGGGAGAAGCAGACTTCCTTCTGAGTAGGGAAGCCTACACGGAGCTCGATCCTAGGACTTCAGGGTCAGGACGTGAACAGAAGGCAGATGCCTAACTGACAGAGCCACCCAGGTGCCCCTCTTCTTCTTCTTCTTTTTTTTTAAACCAGTGGTTTTTAGTATTTAGTATTTTTTTTTCAGTTTTGCAGTCACCAGTCAGTTTTAGAACAGTTCATCACCTCCAGAAGAAACTCTGTGTCCTGTAACTATTACTCCCAAATCTCCCTGTTACCCTCAGTTTTAGACAATCACTAATCTATTTTGTCTCTATCGATCTGCCTGTTCTGGACGTTTCATTTAAATGGACTTGTAGAACGTGGTCTTCTGTGTCTTCTTTCACCTAACATCGTGTTTTCAAGGTTTATCCATGTTGTAGTGTGTCCATGCTTTATTCCTTAAGACCATGTTTTGTGATCTGCTTACCAATTGATGAATATTTGGGTCATTTCCATTTTTTGGCTATTAATGAACAATGTTGCCCTGTATCATTTTTTGCAAGTTTTTGTGTGGACTTGTGTTGCTTTCAGTTGGGGAAGTGTCTCCGAACGGAATTGTTGGGCCAAATGGTAACTCTGGGTTTAACTTTTGAGGACTGCCAGATTGTTCTCAAAAGTGCGTCGGCCATTTTTCATTCCCTACATTATCTTTGCCAACAGATATTATCTGACTTTTTGATTCTAGCCATTCTAGTGGGTATAGAGTGGTATCTTATTGTGATTTTGATTTGTGTTTCCATGATGACTTATGATGTTGCTATCTTTTCATGGGCTTATTTGCCATTTGTATATCTTGTTTGGAAAAAAAAATGTCTATTCAGATCATTGTAATGATTTGCCCATTTTGTAATTTTTTCTTCTTTTTATTAATGAGTTTGTAATAGTTTTTTTAATGTATTATAGATACAAGTCTCTAACCAGATAATTTGCAAAAATGTTCTCCTGTTCTCCTGGTTACCTTTTCAGTTTCTTGATAGTGTCCTTAAACACAAAAGATTTTAATTTTGATTTAGTCCAGTTAAACTGTTTTGTTGCTTGTGCTTTGGTATCCTGTCTAAGAAATCACTGCCTAATCCAGGTCATGAGAATTTACTTCTTTTTTCCCTAAGAGTTTTATAGTTATAGCTCTTATATTTAGGTCTGTGATCCATTTTGAATTTTTTTTTTTTGTGTATGTTGTGAAGAAAAGGCCCAACTTCATTCTTTCACATGTGGATGTCCAGTTGTCCCAGCCGCTTTTGTTGACGAGATTATTTTTTCTCATTGAGTGGTCTTCGTACCCTTGTTAAAAGTCAGTTAACTGGGGGCACCTGGGTGGCTCAGTCGTTAAGCGTCTGCCTTCGGCTCAGGTCATGATCCCAGGGTCCTGGAATTGAGCCCTGCATCAGGCTCCCTGCTCAGTGGGGAGCCTGCTTCTCCCTCGCCCTCTGCTGCTCTGCCTGCTTGTACTCTATCACTTTCTTTGTCAAATAAATAAATAAATCTTAAGGAAAAAAAATCAGTTGACCATAGATGTATGGGTATATTTCTGGGCTCTCAATTACATTCTGTGGTCTGTACATCTATCTTACTACCTTTTTTTTTTTTTTTTTGTCCGCTAGTAAACTTAGAACTCAATGTGAAACTTTCTGGCAACTGTAAATGAACCTCAGGCATGGGCATTAGAGGACTCACATCACCCCTGGCTTCTTATTTTCCTACTCCCAGGTTTCTTTATGTGTGCTCTATTAAAAAAATCTTTTTTTTTTTTTTTTTTTTTAAATGAAGTGTGGGATGTAAATAACTACGCTACCCTTACATTTCAGAGGTTTTATTAATCAGGTCTAACTGAAGGCTGGCTAATTTATACATTACACTTCTGTCAGCTAAAACATGTGAAATTTCTGTTAAATATCTTAAATGTTTCCCCCTGTCAAATTATTATCATCAGCTGATGTTGTTGCCTTTTTATTTACTTTTACTTGGAATTCAGATAATTTCTAAGATTAGCACCTACTTGGTTCTGTTTCTGTCATTAATAACCTATTTTTCTTTCCCCTTACATCTTAAATGATTATATTTAATGTATATTTAATGTATGCTGAAAGTGTGTTGAATATAATTTGGTGCTATGTTCGGAGAACTGTAAATGTTTATACCTATTTATTTAGCCATCCCATTTCAAGTACCTAGCCTAAGGAATAACACTAAATATAGAAATGCGCACACTCAACAAATGTTTGCCATACCTCATTCATGATTGTGAAAAATGGAAGATGACTGACGTGTCTTAGAGTGAGGAATAGATGTTAGCTATATTACAGCTACTGAATGTACTATTAAGTACTATTTTTTAAATGAAGATAATAAAGACCATTCAGTGACTTTAAAATTAATGTGCTGTAATGATGGATAAAAGAAGCACTATGTGAAATAGACATATTGAATAGAGTTTAAAGAAATACACAAATGGCAGTGGTTTTTCAGGATAAATTTATCATTCTTTTATTTGTTTTTAATTTTAAAACCTAGGATTATTGAAATTTGCAATTCTCATAGGAATCTTTCTCCCCTCCCCTCCTTTCAGATGTGAATCTGGTTACACTGGACAGCACTGTGAAAAGACGGACTTTAGTATTCTCTATGTTGTGCCAAGTAGGCAAAAGCTCACTCATGTTCTTATTGCAGCCATTATTGGAGCTGTACAGATTGCCATTATAGTAGCGATTGTCATGTGCATAACAAGGTAGGTAATGACCTAAGAAATACCAACCTTAAATTAGAAGTGGGTAGCTGTTAAATTAAAGAAGAACCTTGAAGCACACTCAAAATGATAGGCGCTTTAGGTCCTCCAGTCTGTTAGGAAGAAAATCCTAGGGTCAGTTGCCTAAGGTTTCTATGTAGGTCTAACCACTCCTTATCTTGCTTCTTTAGAATATGTGCAAGAACTCATTCTCAGAGTATAGAGCCCAGGTGTAGCTGGGCTGTAGGCAGAGGGAGCATGAGAATATTCAGTAGCATAGAGGAATTTAGGGATCTTAGAACTGCACTCAGGGATGACGATGGTATAGCAGAAGGACCATGCCAAGATTTTTAAAGCTCTGGGGAACTGGGAGGTGTTTTTTTATGCCCTAAGAATATACTTTTATCTGTAGTAAATGTAGTAAGAAAGGATGAAACCAGAGATTAAAGAAAACTGCTTTTCTTATTATGTCATTGTCTTAACATTACTTCATTTTCTGGAATACAGTCATAAGTCATCTGTAAAATTCTCCATCATAACTAAAACCATTGGCATTTATCATAACTAAACTCCAAATTAAAAGACGTATTTGGATACAGTAGGCATAAAATGGGTGTTTTCCAAACTGAGTGGAAATGTGTGAGTCAAAAATGAACTGGGCCCCAGAAAAGTCAAACTAAAGCCCGTTCATATTATCTTTCTGCTCCCCAGTGTCATGTCTTTTCATCTTGCATGGCTCTTCCTACCTCCTTTACAGTTTGGTTCAGAAGTCATATAAACACCGTCTCTGTACTTTTCTGCATTATTCTGGGCGAGGATCGGAGCATATCAAGTACAGATATTGGCAGGCCATAATGGGTTTATGGCTCTTCTATCCTAGATCTGGATAGAAGCCAGACCTTCAGTACCCTCAGCCATCTGGAGCTGAAACGATAAATCTAGAAATTATACAAAAAAGTGTTCTCTGAGTAACAGGTACTTTTCCTAAAATTTAGGTGCTGAAGTCAGTGGGCTTTATTCCACAGAACAGATGATTTGCCCTTAGACAAGACTACTGGGTATAAAATTGGGCAGTAGATTAAAATAGGGACGTAATGATATAAAAAATAATGACAGCAGAAAGGGCAAATAGAAGGAATCTGTGTAACATCAGGGCTGCCCGTGGCCATTTAATATAGGCTTAGATTAGGTCATTTGCCTGTGGTCATCCAGCTAGTAATGGAAGTACCTGGATTTGGATTCATTGCTGCTTGATTTCCAGACCATTTCTTTTTCCACTGAACCATGCAGAGGAGGGTCCATTTTGAGTCACTCAGGAAATATATTTGCCAAGTATGACCACTGCATGGGAGCAAGGTTCAGACTTGATTTTTGAATAGAGTTGGGGGGACGACTTGGTATGAATCATTTTTTCAGAGCATTGATCTGAGTGTCATCTGCAAAATTTCCCTGGTGGAGGAAAAATGTGAGGCCAGGAGAACCATATAGGACATTATTTGAGGAAAGCAGGAATGGAATAATAAATTATATGGAGGGTGAAAGAAAGAAATAAGATATAGATGAGGGAAGCTTTTGAGGCCTGTTGATAGTATCATCTTTAAGAAGATTAAAGGAGGTTCTGAGTCAGCAGGAAACAACTTTGAGTCAACCCCTCCCATTATAGAGAAGTCAGGAAATTGGAGGGCTTGGATGGGGGAAGAACCTTACTCAAGATCACGGAGATAGTTAAGCCCTTTTACCAATCCTAATTCAGCCCTTTATCCTGCTCTTTGCTTCTGTTCTCCATGTGCTATAATCTTATAAATTCTATTTTTACTAAGTTAAAATTACCTGACAGATAGTTTTAAAGTCTGTGCCTTCTAGCTGATATCCCAGTTCCATTTGCCACCTTCCCAGACACTTTCAACATCACAGTGTTTTTGCAACCTTGTTACACTGTCTTCTCTGCCCACTGTCTCCGTGACTGAAGGGTCATCTCACTGAATTTATCATGTATCTCTCCTTGAGGCCTGTCTTCTTATTGTGGTATTTCCCCCCCCCTCAAATGTTTTAGTCATGAATTTAAAATATTATAATTATGTACTTGGACTTAGCTCCACTGAATTTTTAAGGAGTTCCTCTCCCACACAGTCCATTATGGGACAGCTGTTCACTTACCCTGTGGTGGCTGTTACATGAGAGGAATCTCCCTTTAAAAGGATAGTCCCACTGACTCACTTATGAAGACTGCATGAGTAAAACTTTCTTCTTTTACGCTTGGACTCTTCTTTCATATTTTTAGACTCTTAGAATGATAAAATAGCAGGGACCTCAAACATTCTCCTAGCCAAATCCCTTTATTTCATAGATGACAAAACCATGGCCCCAGGGAGTTGGAAGTCTTCCAACATCATGGTGAGTTGGTGACAGTTAAAGAGGTTTGGGACGCCTGGGTGGCTCAGTTGGTTGGACAACTGCCTTCGGCCCAGGTCATGATCCCAGAGTCCCAGGATCGAGTCCCGCATCAGGCTCCCAGCTCCACGGGGAGTCTGCTTCTCTCTCTGCCCTTCTCCTCACTCATGTTCTCTCTCACTGTCTCTCTCTCAAATAAATAAATAAAATCTTTAAAAAAAAAGAGGTTTGCTTGGCCTCTCAACCATGAAATGGAGAGGATTCCATCACTGTCTCCCTCAAAGTGTTTTTAGGAGGATTAGTGAGATAAAATTTATGAAATACAGTATATGAAATGGAAGTGTTACCATCAAGACTTTTAAGTTAAGGCAAAGCTCTTTGAAACTGAATAAAAAATGTGGAACTTCTGGAGTACTCCTTGTCACATGACTTTCTTGCCATTAGATTATAAATTCCTAGTTGGCAGAGAGTTATGGGAGGTTGGTCCCAACTTTTAATATTTCACATATAGGAAAAGGGTGTTGCACAGCTAGTTTTTAGCAGAGTCCAAGCTTAACATTACCGGGATTCATCCCAGTGCCTTCGTTCCACGTTGTGTGCCACAGCACTTGGTGCAGAGTACAAGCTTGCGTGTTTGCATTCCGGTGGGCAGGCCCAAGAGCAGGTGCTGCACAGTGAGGCTTAGACCACCATGGAGAAGCAGGTATGGTAAATTGAGAGGAGAGTCAAGGACTGTCCTTATCCCCAGCATAACAGTTCTTTACCGGGTTCTGTGGTTTGCCCAAGCAGGCTGTGGAACAACTTCTTTTGAGTCATTGTCTAAAATCACTAAGCATTTCCTGTTTGCACATGCACACTTTTTCCTAATTACTCCTTCATCCAGGCTGTTCTTGTCACTTTGGGGGTGTCCCAGTGCTCCACAGAAGTCCATAGGCCAGGATCCTTTCTTTTGTTCAAGGTTTATGTGTTATCAGTCACCGTGGCTAGGGAGTTGCCGGGTCAGAAAAAGGGTGGGGATTCCTCTCAGGGACACATACGCAGCAGTGGAGACCCAGGAGTGAGCTTTGCTTGTGCTCACACCTGTGTCCTGTACCTAACCCTCTCCCCTCCCAGCTGTGTAGGGAAGCCAGCAGGCTGACATGTTGGTTCTCAGCCTGTCTTGCATCAAACACCATCCTTTTTTCCCCAGTATGGCTTTGTGTGTGAAATGTGTATTACTTTGGAAACATTTGAAATACCTTAAACAAAATGATCTTTTTTTTTTTTTTTTAACTCAACAGAAAATGCCCTAAAAACAACAGAGGACGGCGACAGAAGCAAAACCTAGGTCATTTTACTTCAGATACGTCATCCAGAATGGTTTAAACTGATGACTTTTATATGTACACTAACCATGTGATGTACATTTATTATGTCTTTTTTTAAAGAATGGAAATATTTATTTCAGAGGCCTTATTTTTGGACATTTTTAGTGTAGTACTGTTGGCTTGTATTTAGAATATTCAGCTACAACAGTTTTGGACTGTTTAGTAGTCTTTGTTTTATGTTTTTAAATACAGAAATTGAGTTCACAAATTTATACCACATGGTAATTCTAAGACTTGTTCTTTACCCATGGAATGTAATATTTTTGCAAAGATGGACCACTTCACAAATGGTTATAAAGTCATACCCACTTCTTCCACAGTGACCACAACAAATGACCAAGCATGAACTAAAGGTAAAGATGTTTACAGATTACTTTTCTTACAAAAAAAAAAAGACAAAGAATCTAGAAGACACTGTGTTTAAATAGACATTTAAATGTTTTTGAGATTTAGTAACTGATTTTTTAGAAACTGCGTATTGCATGAACTGTAAAGTTGTGTGTGTTAGATGTAAAATATTTATAAGCGGTATGGATTGGAATTTGATTATTCCTCTCTTTGAAAAAAAAATAGTTCTGATAATTTGGAAAAGTATCTGGTAGCAAAGATGGAATGAATCACTGGAAAGTAGATTTAGATACTGTGAAAAATGTCTGTTTAACAAACAGATTGGAATAAAGCCTCCTCTATCAGTTTAACTACTTCAATACACGTTCATTTTTAAGAAAATATTTGTTTTAACATGAATAAACAAATTGTATCCGTGTTTGTGAATAAAATGCAAAAATGATTGTTAATGATTGGTGCTCTTAAGGTGAGCTTAAAAATTATCTAAGACCTCTATCCAAATTTGTCCTGTAGTAATAGCTATATTAATAGATTGTTGGTGTTTAAAGATCTGAAGTGTGAGTAGAATGTATTCAGCTGTTTAACATGTAGTTAAGGTATATGCATGTAGAATTTAAGAATATGTTCAAAATTAAATATTAATTTTAATATTTGGTTTGGAAAAGCATGTTATAATATAATGTTTTCACTATATGGCCTCTGTTTTGGTGTGTTTATTTACCACATTCTTTGTTACTGATAAATCAGTACATTTAGTATGTGAAGTAAGTAGAAAAAGAGTTCAGTTCAAAATTCCCCTTTGCTTTTACAAATACTGTTTGAAATTATCTAAAGGCAGAAGCTTCCCCCAACATGCAGCATTTGCTTTTTTGGTCATTTGGCTTTTAGGCTTAATATTAGTAACATGGCAGCTTCGGGAACTTTTTTTTTTTTTTTTTGAAGCTTTCCTCTTGTCTGCACACAGACTTATTTGAGTCCATTAGTCAGTCACCAAGCATGTTTGGAACAGTACCCAGTGCTCTGCAAGGGTTCATGTTGCAGAACAGTCATGTGTGGGTATTTGTAGTTATAAATACTTGACCAGTCTCCAGGGGTGGGGTTTCCAACCCTTTAAACAACCCTGTTGCTTGTTATCGAGCTAACTTTTTACTCTTAGTGCCAGAACTGATTGTGGTGGGACATCTTTCACTGAGAAATAACTAAAATGGAACATAATGGATCTTCTTCAAATGCTGAAAAAATCCACCAGAATCGCCTCTCGAGTGTCACAGAAGATGAAGACCAAGACGCTGCTCTCACCATCGTGACTGTGCTGGACAAAGTAGCCACCATCGTGGACAGTGTGCAGGCAAGCCAGAAGAGACTAGAGGAGAGACATAGGGAGATGGAAAATGCCATAAAGTCCGTCCAGATTGACCTGCTGAAGCTGTCACAGTCCCACAGCAATACAGGCTATGTCATTAACAAGTTGTTTGAGAAAACTCGAAAAGTCAGTGCTCACATTAAAGACGTGAAGGCCCGGGTGGAGCGGCAACAAGTTCACGTGAAAAAAGTTGAATCCAAGCAAGAGGAAATAATGAAGAAAAATAAATTCCGTGTGGTAATATTCCAGGTAAGCTTGGCACCTGCGTTTGGCTTGATTACTGCAAAATCTTAACATCCTTGAATTGCCAACCAGTCATATGAGAAGTTTCCAGCACCCCATCCTAACTGTTGTCTGTATTCATGGAGTGGAGTTCTGTCTCAGGGAGAATCCCAGGATAAAGCCATGTCTGTGTTGACTAATGTGCTATGCTATCAATACTTGGAGTTTCTCAACCATTTTGTGTAACAGGAACTGTGCATCAAAGCTGAGGCTATTTCTTGCCTTTGAAACTTAATATTGGGAAGGCTCTTTCAGCATATTAGCCGTATCAGCACGATGCCCTTTTGGAGACTGAGAATGTTGGTTTTAGAAGAGATCTAAGAGGACTCGGGTTTAAAACACCTCTTTGTTGTATAAAAAAAAGAAACTGAGGACCTGTAGTCCCACAATGTGGTTTCCCCCTTTATTACGGAGAGCCTGAAAAGCCCTAAACAGTAAAATACAAACTTTTCAGAATATTATTTTTCTTTTGGAATTTTTACATGTGATAATATGTAGGTTACAATGATAATAAGAAAAACTCAACAAATAATTAGGCCATTGTTTTTATGGTTGTTAAACTTTATAGATACTCGAGTCATGTAAGTAATTGCTTCTGTTTGATTACAAAGTCTTTTGATTCCACTTATTTGATGTAGTTTAGTGTGACATTGTGCATTGTGCTATGTTAGCATATTATGCTGCATTTGGCATCCATATTTTTTGAAGTAGGAACACATCCATGGCAAAATGCATAGTATCTGAATATATTTTAAAACTCTTACAAATCAAAAGGAAAAAGTTGAACTCTCCTCCTGTGAAAGAAAAATGGGAAAGTCATTATCAGACTCTTCACAAAAGAAAATAAAAGATCAGAATTCCACTTATGTCTATTTAGGTATTTTCAGTTTTTTAAAACATATACTCAGAGTTTTAAGGGTTAAAAAAGTCAAGCGCTTTCATACTCTGGTGGAAGCAGTAACTGAGTATTAACTAGTACATTATTTCCGGGGGGAAGTTTTGGTATACACACACACAAACACACAGTGTTACCACAGTATATTTTTAAAATGGATGGATATCCCTAGGCAGAGGAAAAAACCTTCAAAGAGTAAAAACGAAATAAGAACACAGTTGGATTATGTAGGCAGATACTTGTAAGACATGAGAGATGTAGGCCACAAATCCCCACAGCATTATCTACACGTTAGGCAGGTCTCCGTCATTCTCTGTTGATGATGAAGTTACATAGGGATGGCAGAGTAGTATTTGGGATCTGTTTGTATTTTTTTGTTTTTTTGTTTGTTTGTTTGTTTTAATTAACGTATAATGTATTATTTGCTTCAGGGGTACAGGTCTGTGAATCGCCAGGTTTACACACTTCACAGCACTCACCATAGCACATACCCTCCCCAATGTCCATCGCTCAGCCACCCCACCCCTCCTTCCCCTCAGCAACCCTCAGTTTGTTTCCTGAGATTAAGAGTCTCTTATGGTTTGTCTCCCTCTCTGGTTTCATCTTGTTTCTTTTTCCCTCCCCTCTCCTATATGGAATCGGTTTTTAAGAACCTGTCTTATTTAAGAAAAAGAAGCCAGTGCCAGTGTTAGTATATGTAGTTAGTATATGTAATGGGGATCTAGATTTGATATTAGAGAACATAGGATCCATTCTTCAGTTCCCCTCCCAAGGGCATTAGCAGGAATGGGTTATGTTGTACCCTTCACTTGCAAGGGGCATGCCAGGAGACATTCTCGGTATCTTGCATTTCTCCTGAGGACGTTTGTGCAAAGAGCAGACCAGGTACCAATCAAGATCTACAAAAGGCTTGAGGAAAGAAGTTTCTGAAAAGTTCAAACTGACTCTTGTCTATTGACACAATTTTTGTGGTTGTTTTTTTTTTTATAGTTAAGATTATTTTCTATCTTCACCTCTTTATTCCTTGAAACTTGCTATTTTTCTCTTTGAGTTTCTGGAATTAGTTGAACAAGTAGATAGTATGAAGAAGCTACCGAGAGGCGCTAATTTAAGTCAGATCTCGTTCCTTGTAAGATACAGTGCTGTGAAAGTTCTATGAAATTAGGTTGCTCAGAGGAAGCCGGAGTTTGTCAGTAAGCAGCCGCTTTTATAGAGCTTGTAGAGAAAGCTTGTAGAGCTTGTAGAGAAAAGACGAAGGCAAATAACAACGGATTTGATGATTCATTAGCTGTTAGAACTCTATACAGTATGCACACGGTTATACTTAGTTAAAATTAGTTCTTATACTTCATTCTCATAGTTGATATGTATAAGTGGTTATACTGAGATCACCTGTCCTACTAAAATTAACTTGAAGCTGAAGTAATTCAGCTGTAGTATACTTCCATTTCCATTTGGGTTTCCCCCCAAAAGGTTTTCCCTGGATACATCTTTTGGGGACAATCTTTATGGGTGTTTTATCTCCCACAGGAACTTTCGAATAATCCTGGACATTGGTGTTAAAAAAACTATCTGCTCTTTTTCATACAGTTACGATTTCTCTTTGAACGTCACCTTGATGACCTTCTCATGCAGGCCGCAGTCATACCATCTCTTCTAGCAATTTTGCTTACAAACCACATGCCTGTGGTTACCAAATGAGATGTTCAGCCATTCCCTAATGATGAGCCCTGGACTTCTCTATACTCAGAAGTCCCCTAGCTAGGTTACTTTGGTACTCAGTCAAAGCTACTTTACCCTAACCATAGTACTTGCTTTGTTTTACAAAAGTCGTTTTACCTGGACTTTTACATAAAAGATATAAAGGGGTGCGTGGGTGGCTCAGTTGATTCAGCGTCTGCCTTTGGCTCAGGTCATGATCTTGGGATCCTGGGATCAAGCCCCAGGTCGGGCTCCCTGCTCAGCAGGGAGTCTGCTTCTCGCTTCTACCTCCCTCCCTCCTTCCCCACTTGTGCTCTCTCTCTGTCAAATAAATAAAATCTTTAAGAAGAGGTATAATATTTGGAAATCAACTGTAACTCAACCCCATAATCTTCAATTATCATTACAGTATATTCATCATTAATTCATGGTATCTCTGACTCAGTAGGAATTGCAACAAATAGATCCATGTCACAAGTACTTTCTCTGACTACTTTTGTTTTGTTTTTAAGGGTGACGTTATATAATTAGTGCAAGTGAAAAGAATGGAATATGATTCCTGAGTTAAGCTATGTTTGATTCCTTCATAGCAAGATTGTGAGGGTTTTCCCCCTACCAAGCAATAATTATTTTTTGGCTCCTTCCTATTCTAATTATACTTTCTCAGGCCATACCAACCCACTTTGTTGTTGCCGAAGCTACTCCCTATAGCAGGTGTCAGGAAAGGAGAGGAATAATTTTGCTGCTTCTCACTGATTCATCAGAGAGTTATGAGACGCCCACCTTTCTTTTCTTCTTTTTTAAG